TGCGAAGTGTCTCGGCTTCAAAACCATTCTAATCTCCCGAAGTTCTGTGAACTGTTTTCATTGAGGCGCAAAGGTGACCCATGCAAGCCATGCGAACCACCTGAAAACCCGATAGTACTTTGTTAACAGGTGATAGGGGCCTTGAGGCCTTGATTTAAGATTCGCGCTGAAGAACAAAATTTGACTGTAACACAGCACCAACCACCAACGTTTACCAGTCACCAACGTTTACCAGCGCTGCGGCAGGAGTTGATGTCGTTACGTTACAGCCTAGTGGGGCCAGGCAAATATTATGATACAAGTCTATTCACAGTGTTATCGTTGCTTCACAGTTTTTGACACTGAAGAGCTGTTTTTTGTGATCGCGATCTTTTACATCCTATAACTAAAAAACCTGAAAAGCCTTTCACCCTTCAACCCAACTTCCTTTCTCTTATCGTGCGGAAAATAGCACCTTAATAATAACACCCTAACCGCATGTATACACTGCTGAGCGTCCACAACCCTTGGTTCACAACTAGAAACGCATTTTTTCAACCTGTCAACCCGCCAACATCTGACCCGCAAGATCCCGCGGGCTTTTGGCCGAGTTGTGGGCCAAACTTGGCGGTGTTTTACCGGCCAAGCATTTGGCAAGAACATTATGCATTTTCTCTGCTCCTGAACTTTTAAAACCACCCCAAAACCAGAGTGTGCTGCCACACACAATACATTTATTGCTTGCTTTTCCTTTTTACGGCAACAGCGCCAGCGGCAGAAAGCCCGTAGCAGACACAGCACACCAGTTAACTGCGTTGCACAAATGGAAACTTCGGGCAAACATGTCCCTTATAAGTGAAAATGACTTCTTAAGACAATACAATTCGTCTGTGAAGTAAATATGCTTCTCAATACGTCATTGTTTGATTTTGTCATCGTACCTTGCAGATCATTGATTGAAAGACAGCCGACGGCCGGTATAATTGAAAGGGGTGCTCGCAAACGGCGGATATGAACTTCTCGACAATTGTATTTTTCTTGGCCTTGATCGCCGCATGTCGAATGAAAAAAGCAGGATTTAAAGGGAATGTTCCACATTTGTATGGCGTTTTGAACTGGAATAGCTATCTTGAGGATCTTTTGATGTAGTTCAATGTCATGTCCTTTTTAAGACCCAAAGCGCTCTCTTTTCTGAGTTACACGCCCGCAAAAGTGCGAACAGGTTTATTTTGGAGCCATATTGCATTGGCATTAATGACGTCATAGAAACGTCATGCGATCGCGGTCGTACTACAGGCTTACAGGCTACAGGTTTTCTGCTTATGGTCAAAGCAGCATGGCCGCTGATACATTAGCAAAAGCGATGGTGCGGCACGTATGATACAATGCGCGGACGATGATTGGCTAGTTGCAAGATGTCGCTGCTGAATGCGTGTCGCGAAAGTAAGCGTCAGCACTTTCGAGTTTGGCATTCGTCGTGAACGGGTCATTTTTCCTTACTTGTAGGCCGCAGGTCAATGTTATAGAAAAGAACGCCGCTGTCTGCAAAAAAGTGCGGCACCGTACACACTCACTATCCCCAAAGTTATAACAAAGAAGACGCGACGGCAACTCTGTCTTTTTCCTCTTGCCGGCGTTTTTTCTTCTTCTACCGACGTATTTCTTATGGAGAGCCCGGTTGGGGGCTTGTGTACCAGAGCACAGAACCCTGCACGGGTTTATGGGTTAGCCAGGCATTATGAAATTAGGGAAATATTACAGCAATTTTATATATATATATATATATATTGTATATACATATACATATATATATGTATATATATATATATATATATATATATATATATATTTCGCTAAGTATTTCACACACATTGTAGGACAAATTAGATATTGAACGAAAGATTGTGTTCTACAGGTACAACCTCCCGAGCTGCATTACTATGAACCCCCGTTGGGACATTGTTTTGAAGGGAGGTCAAGGTGAAATGCGGTGTGATAACTGAAAATCTGTGCGGAAATTGCGAGAAAACCTGCAATTTGATAGTCCCACGGGCTGCGCAAGCGTGAGATCACACTTATGTGACAAAAGAGTGTGAATCGGGGGCTTGAAATGTATGTGATTACTGATGGTGTGTGCCAGTGGCTTGTATTGATCGTGGTGTGGTAGGGCGTGTGCGTGCGAGGTTTGTACGTCTGAGAGAGAACATTGTTTCGGTATTCTTCAAGTCTACTGACCCTCAGTAAAATATGATATATTAATACCTGCCTCTACCTTCATGTTTGTGTTTGAATATGACGAAGTATTAGTCATAAGTCAGCAAACTAAGCGAAACACTGGCACCTGTGTTACAGGGGTGTACAAAGGCAAGCTGGTACTTCATTATGATGTTGCTAACATTTTGAACCTATTGAGGTATTGCAGCATGTCAGTAATCCATTGCCTGTCATTATATCAGCAATTCGTTATGGCAGTAGGGGCTTGTGCGTGCGGCTCATTAATGCACATGCTCAGTATAGGCTCACATTATATGGTTTCGTAGAATCTCCTTTTCCTAAATAATTCTGAAAATATAGAGCTGTATGACTACTGATGCACACTGTACTGACGTAACAAATTTGGTATGCAGACGAGCATTGCTGGTGAGTCATCAATGTTATGGTCACTGCAACTTGCATGAGATGATGGGTGCTGAGAACGGTTGAAAAGTATTGCTGCTGATGTCCTGGATAGGACTTACAATATTTTTGTCATGAGCTTTGTGTCATTTCTTTGCATTTATCCCATCCTACCATAACTACATGCACTTGTCATGTTTCCAGCCTCGTGCAAGGTCAGCATGGTTGCAGTGTCATTTCATCACATGTTAAGTTTTCCTATGATTTTTTTAGCAAAGCAGCCTTATGGCTGCGGCATGTTGCATGACTGTTGAAGTGGAAGGTGTGTTTGCATCTTTCTCACCCACGCTTTGTGGATTCTCAAAACAGGCCGAGCAAGTGACACCATTTATTGATTGTCTGTTTTGCTGAAAGTGTTATGTATATTGTATCATGTGTTTCTGTTCAGTCGTGTCAGATGGGAGTCAATACAAGAGAGGACACGTGACCCATCTTTTCACGATGGAATGTATTATGAAAGTAGCATGGAATCCAGTACAAAAACCATATGATTGTTCATTATGTCATGCCACAGTACAGCACCGATGTAGCGCCACAGCTGTTGATCCGTGCTATTACACAATGTACCACATTGGACTACTCTATGTCAAGCCTATGAGACAGCAGCCTATGATATATGAATGACGGGTAACAACTGATTTAACAATCTCAAAAAACTTTCAACAGCAAGAATATCAATGCACAGCAATGGTTATATCAGGGTTAACTGTTAATTGCATGAATAATCCTAAGCAAAAACAAACCTTGGTAGCCCAGCATTGCCAACTCTATCATAGCAATAGCAATGATAAAATTGAAAATTGATAAATTTTCGTATGACATCACATTTTCGGTTACAAACAATAAAGGCAATGTTACAAATGTATTAATTTTCGCATGACGCCACATTTCTAGCTGCAAACAATTAAGACCGTAACTTCTGTGCACATCACATGGTATCAATGTCAGAACTACAGGACTGCACGCAACGATGAGTCGACGATAAAGTATTGGCAAAATCATCAACAGCATAGCAGCTAGTAATCTGTCATAAAAGTTGGCGATCGCTACGTTGCGTATGTCAAACAATCCGCCAAAGTTTTTCTTACGGCTAGCATCAATACAAAAATCCTCAAATAACCTACCTACTAACCCGCCACCTGACAGCCCCCGCGACGAGAATGACTGGTAGGCGTCAGCTTTCGTGCGTTTCGAGGTATTCTTTAGGTCTGGCTGCCAGATGCTGCCAGGTATTACTGTCGTCACAAAACCATTCTATGACGCCATCAAACAATGACGTTACGAGGTCCGTTTTTACAAGTTTTGAAATTTTGCTACTAAGCGTCGTCTTTGAACCCGGAAAGCTTATTAATAGTTACAAGTGAGCTTTTCTCATAATATCTGATGCCTACCTCAATACCTTCAAATGTGGAGCATTCCCTTTAAACGGTGTTATTGTGAAGTCATTGATGCCTGGATGACTCCGAAATAATCTTCCCTAAATAGTCTGCACATCTTGGCGGCCGTGTAGCTCAGATACTAGGGAGGGTTGTGCCTTAAGAAGGGCAGGGTTGTGCACTGTACCGAATTATTTTCAGAAATGGCTGTTTCAGTTCAGAACCTTCATGCAAATGTGCAAATAGGAATTTTCCCATTTAAGAAGAAATAAAAAACATATTGAAATTAACTTAGCAATTGTAGGTTGATGCCGGCTCAGCGTGGCAGCACAGCGGGCTTTTGCGGACTGGATCCCCAGCTGATCGAGGTGGGCGGGGCTGCCGGCTGATATTTTGGAGAGTGCTGCGCGTCTAGTTGCATACCGGGCCGGGCTGGTGAGTGCCGACAGCTGCTCCCCGCCAGCCGACCCTGGCCGTCCATGCTGCCGCCGCGTCTGGCCGGCGGCGCCTGCCGTGACTGGCTGGCGCGTGACCAGCCGCGTGCCGCCGGAAGGCAGCGCGTGTGGGCGCGCAGTGGCGGCGGCAGAGAGACGACCCTGACCGTCGGCCGGTGCGCGGCGACAGGGCCGGCCTGGCGATGGGGGCTCGCTGTGCGACGCTGGCACCGGCCGGTGGCCTCCGGCGTCAGCCCATCTCGGACGGACCGTCTCGGCTTCGGAACTGGTGCAGACCAGTTGGTATAGTGCGTACTTATGCATTTATTTTGCCGCTGGCTCGATGCCAGGGGCCAAGTGGCGAGTTTTCAGCCCAACGAGCGAACGGTGGTCGAAACTTTCTGGGCGGTGGGGCCTAGCCAGCTGTGGAGAGCCATGGGCCGGATGCTCAGGGCGCCCGGGGCCGGTTCGCGTCAGCTGCCTGGCGTCTCGCCCATTAACCCGGCCTGATCGCTACTCCGTTCCGTGCCCGCAGGTGATCGGCTACTTCGTGGTCTGCCTGTGGCTGGTACCACTTGAGTTGCTCGTCTCGCTGTCGGCCAACGAGAACGTGCTGCCGACGGTGGCCGATCACAGCTCCTCTAACCGGCACGGTGGGTCGGGGCTGGGGGCCGCTGATCGCGGCACGGTACGGTCCGAGGTGTCCGATGGTGCCCGAGCCGAGGGAGGGGGCGGGGAGGGGAGGGAGGGTGCGGTGGGCCGGGCGGGGGGGGGGGGGGGGAGCTGATCGCGGCACGGCACGGTCCGAGGTGTCCGATGGTGCCCGAGCCGAGGGAGGGGGCGGGGAGGGGAGGGCGGGAGCGGTGGGTCGGGCGAGGGGGGGGGGGGCGCTGATCGCGGCACGGCACGGTCCGAGGTGTCCGATGGTGCCCGAGCCGAGGGAGGGGGCGGGGAGGGGAGGGCGGGAGCGGTGGGTCGGGCGAGGGGGGGGGGGGGGGCGCTGATCGCGGCACGGCACGGTCCGAGGTGTCCGATGGTGCCCGAGCCGTGGGAGGGGGCGGGGAGGGGAGGGCGGGAGCGGTGGGTCGGGCGAGGGGGGGGGGGGGGGGCGCTGATCGCGGCACGGCACGGTCCGAGGTGTCCGATGGTGCCCGAGCCGTGGGGCGGGTGTGTTGGGCCGGCAGGGAACAGGTTGAAGACCATTCCATTCGTTTTGACCACGCCAGGTGAGCGCTGTGGAACCGTCAGCCTATTGTCCTGTAAACATTGGGTTGATGGTTTGCAATTTCCAACGAGTCTAGGTGCATGTTTTGGCGTCAGCCCTCTCCCTCTTCTACCCACTGACCGCACCCATGACACCAGAGGTCACGTCAGCCCTCTCCCTCCCCTACCCACTGACTGGAACCCAGACACCAGAGGCCACGTCAGCCCTCTCCCTCCCCTACCCACTGACTGGAACCCAGACACCAGAGGCCACGTCAGCCGCTGGACCCTTGCACCTCCGCCCGGGGCGTCTTCGGGTCGGGCCAGTCGTCCAGCCGTGTCGAGGGCGCACCTGAGCTCGCACGTGCCGCCCGCCACCGGCGCGCCCCTCGCTCTCCCGTCGGTTCGGAGCGCTAACAAGCCGGAGTCAGGGGCGCGCCCAGGGACGTTGGTGCAGGGTCAGCGTGCTGAACCAGAGCACACACGCCCCTGCGGGACGCCGCTGCGCCGAGCGGGGGTCGGCGCCGACAGTGGTGTGTCGCTCGCCGGTCTGCATCCGCCGCTGTGACTCATTACGCGGCGCGAGCGTGGCGGTCGGCGGGTCGCCGGCGCCGGCACTAACGACACACCGTCAGGAGCGGCGGCTTCGATCGGCCCCGCCGCCTCCGGCCAGGTGCCGCCCAGTCGTCTCGAGCCGAGCGACCGCCGCCGGCCGACTCAGGCAGACCGCATAATAACTGGTGTGGAGCGCGTCATCGGCTGCGGTCGATCCTGTGGCCGGTGACGCGCGGCCACCGCCGAGTGCGTCAGCCAGCCGCGTAATCATCGCGGCAAGACAAAACCGAGTGTCACGCCGCCCTGACGCCAGCCACAGGAACGTGCCGGAGCTGGGGAGCTGGCAATGGAGCGCGCAGCGCGCCTCGCGGTCAGCCCAGGAAAGAACTGTCGGCTGATAGGGAGGGCGGTGATGGGAGAAGCTTTTGAGCAATTGGCGCTGTTCATGAGCCCTCGCTTCGTTGGTAGCGGCCCTTTATGCGGATTCGTCGTGTGGCTTTGATCACTCGGTGGTCTCCCAGATTGGTGTGCCGCATACCTCCTGTGTTCTTCGCATTTACTCAGGGTGTCCAACGCTGTTGTCAGGGTCCTTTATGTTAACTGACCGGAGTTCTCTAGACCACTCATGGGGCCTCCATGGGTCCTCCCATTCGCTCCGAGGACTCTACGCTGCTCGCGATTTGTATATATATATATATATATATATATATACAAATATATATATATATATATATATATATATATATGCAACCCATACACATATTCATATATTCATATATCTTAAAACATATATATATATATATATATATATATATATATATATATATATATATATATATGCGTGCGTGCGTGCGTGCGTGCGTGCGTGCGTGCGTGCGTGCGTGCGTGCGTGCGTGCGTGCGTGCGTGCGTGCGTGTGTGTGTGTGTGTGTGTGTGTGTGTGTGTGTGTGTGTGTGTGTGTGTGTGTGTGTGTGTGTGTGTGTGTGTGTGTGTGTGTGTGTGTGTGTGTGTGTGTGTGTGTGCGTGCGTGCGTGCGTGCGTGCGTGCGTGCGTGTGTGTGTGAACCCGATCGTCAGTAAGAGCATCGAGACGATCTTGGTACCACGTGAAGTTTTCGCTCGGGGAACATGAGTAAGTGTTTCACGCAATGAACGGGTGACCAAGATCTGCTTAAACTGATCAGGGCATCAGCACTCCTCATACCAACTGAGTCACTCCTGAACTACATCATCACCAAGGTGTAGGACCTGAAGACGGTTGTCAGTGTACCACCAGAACAGATAACTGATGTCACCTCAGCACCATCTTGCCCCTCCCCCTTTCCGCAAACTCTGGCTGTTTTGTTTTTGTTTATACGTATACAAGCGCATACCATGATGCCTTCTTGGACCCCCACAGCATAGGGAGTACTTTCTGAAGAAAAGTTTTCCTCACGGCCGTGCATCGGAAGCCTTCTAATGTTGTAGTCGCCATGGACACCCGTGCTGTGGATGCCATTGGGACTCAACGACGCACTCAGCTGCTCAGGCTATACGGCGTCGCCTGCCTCTCCCCCCGGCAGGAAGGGCCGCCACCGCGGGGAATCGAACCCCGTACCTCCGGTTTCCCAGTCGGGCAGAGGTTAGAACACCCGCATGAAATGCCCCCAAAGATGATATATAGATGGTAGAGTGCATATCGTATGTATTTCTCCCAGGGCCCGGTCGTGGTGTACCCAGGCCGACTTGAGCTGTGCTTTCTTTCTTCCGATATATCCAGTGGGCCTCCGCTGTCCCTGGTAATCCGGCATGCCCTCTGGGGCCGGGTTTTCAGGCTAGGCAGAGAAAAAACAACCCGACATTGTTATGGGGGTTTATTGGGTGGTATTTGTAGCACTGTTGCGGACGGCTGTACTTGCGGCTTGCCCAGGTCTGGCCGGCCGTCTCACACTACCCCTGTGCCGTCAGGCGTCGGCCCGGGCCTGACATGGCCGGCGCCGCCACGCGCTGCGCTCTGATCGCCAGGCTCCATGACATTGGTGCTACAATAAAAACTCCTACCGACAGCAGTACTTCAACATGAGTTCTACTGCCAATACACGACGTTAGTGCTACGCGACAACATTTCTACTGCAAAGACTTTTACAGTCTTTCCGTATACACGACCCTACCTCTTGTGCAAGGACTTATACGCAACATTAGTACCATACGGCAAGACGTATGCTTAAAGCACTTGCACCTGTCATTATCTCTACTGCAAAAGTTTATGCAACCATTGTTTATACACGGCATTACATCTACTGCAAAGACTTGTGCGCGACATTAAAGCTACAACTACTTGCGGTTGGGTCTTAACTGTAGAGGCAGCGATAATAATTGGTATATGTCTTTGCAAGATAAGTTTTGTCGTATAGTACTCATGTCGTGTACGAGTTTATTTAGTAGAAGCAGTGTTGCGTTTAAGTGAAGACTGGATACGTATTTGCTGTGTTAGTAATGGCGATCACAAGTTTTTGCAGTTGATGTAAGTAATGACGCATGTAAGTAAAGACTATAAGTCCTTACAGTAGGTGTGATAATGTGCATGATTATTTGGAGTATAAATTTTGCCGTGGGGCGCCCACTCACAACAAGCAGTCACACTCAAGTATTGTCGCCTATAGCTGATGTCGTCGCACCGCTGTGGGAAGGAATGTTTGCCGTAGCGCTGATGTCATGACACCGTTGGCGAGGGCGGCGCACTGCCCGACGCCGGACGCCCATCCTGGCGCCGGCGGCGGCGGCGGTCGGCCGCGGGAAATCCCCGGACTGCGCGGCCGGCGTCGGCGGGTCACGGGCTGGCGGGGGACGTGCTGGGAGTCAGCTGGGGACTCCCGCTCCAGGCGGGGTCGGCGGGTCACGGGCTGGCGGGGGACGTGCTGGGAGTCAGCTGGGGACTCCCGCTCCGGGCGGGGTCGGCGGGTCACGGGCTGGCGGGGGACGTGCTGGGAGTCAGCTGGGGACTCCCGCTCCAGGTGGGGTCGGCGGGTCACGGGCTGGCGGGGGACGTGCTGGGAGTCAGCTGGGGACTCCCGCTCCGGGCGGGGTCGGCGGGTCACGGGCTGGCGGGGGACGTGCTGGGAGTCAGCTGGGGACTCCCGCTCCGGGCGGGGTCGGCGGGTCACGGGCTGGCGGGGGACGTGCTGGGAGTCAGCTGGGGACTCCTGCTCCGGGCGGGGTCGGCGGGTCACGGGCTGGCGGGGGACGTGCTGGGAGTCAGCTGGGGACTCCTGCTCCGGGCGGGGTCGGCGGCCGTCGGCTGCCCGGCTCAACGTCCCGCGGATCGTCCCAGCTCGGGCCCGGCTCTGTCTCTGAGACGACGTGCCAGATGTGGCTCGGATTGGGGAGGAAGGGGGGGGGGGGGGGAGAGGGTCGAACGTCGGCGTGCCATTGCACGCCGGCTTAGCTGTTGGGTAATATGTATAGATGGGGTCCAGGCCTCTAGAAGCTGGCGTAGACGGTCCTTGATTTGATCAGTCGTTTAGTACTTACCGGGTAAAACTCGGTTGTTTAGGAATCATGGAATTGGTTACGAAAATTTGCTTTGATTTTTTCGCATGGGTGGGGTTAGGCCCGGAGTTTTCGGCAAGCAAAGCTTGATGAGTGCACACTTAATCCGCCACCCATGGTGTGCTGCTACCACAGCCATCAGCCAGAGCCTATGTAAGGGGAGGGGGCACAGGATTTCACCTGATGGTGAAACCCCTCCCCCCGCAAAAAATCACTGAACTTGCTCCACTTGATGTTGAGGTGGCGCGGTTTTCTTCGCTTTATTTTTAATTTCAAGCTCATAACTGGGGCATAAGCCAGACAAGCTACGGTAAGATGCCATTCTGTTTGCATTATGAAGCCAAGCTAAAGGAAGCGAACGTTAAATG